ACTGACCCCCTTTACAGTCAGAAATCCACGTACAACTTTTAACTACCTCCGAAATTAACCACTGATAGCTTACTGTTGACTGGAAGCCTTACCAATAATATAAATCCCAGTCTGCCAACACACTTTGTATGTCACACTCTATTCTTAGAATAAAATAAGCCATAGGAAAAACGTTTTTAAGAAGTCATAAGAAAGAAAAATATATATTTATTCATTAAGTGAAAGTAGATCACCATAAAGGTCTTCATCTTGGTGGTCTTTACATTGAATAGGCTGAGGAAGATGGTTGGGTCTTCTATCTCATGGGTGGCAGAGGCAGAAGAGGTGATGAAGGTGGGAGGGGTGTCATACTTGGTGTAATATTTATGGAAAGAAAATCTGTGTATAAGCAGACCCACATAGTTCAGATCTCTGTTTAAGGGTTGGTTATAATAGCCTTTAAACAAATACAGCAAAAATAGAAGTTAAAGGAAAAACAGGTAAAATTTAATCACACCTGACTTTGCATTCTTTTTAAGCACTTATGGAATACTTACAAAAATTGACTATATACTATGCTGAAAAGCAAGCCTGAACAAATATTAAAGGATGGCTATTATACATAATACATTTGCCAATTACACTGTAGGAAGCTAGAAATCAAAACTAAATATAACTAGGAATTATATGTTGAAATCAGAATAATATATATTTAAATCTTTAGTAGATTTCAAGTTACCTTGATTTTGTGGGATACAACTAAAGCCAGTTTAGAGGTATATGTAAAATTTTAGATGTATATGTTAGGAAAGAAGGAATACCAGTAGGCAAAATACTCATTTCAAAGAATTGGAGAAAGAAGAGCAGATTAAACAAAGGAAGTAGAAGGAAGGAAATAATTAAATGAACAGTAGAAATCGATTAAAGACAAACACAAAATGAAATCATTCAATATATTAGCTAGCTATAGCTGCATTATAATAAATTACTCCAAAAACTTAAAACTTAAGTAAACTACTTACTGAGTTCCTGAGTCCTTTTTCCAGTCAGCTGTAGGGTCAGCTAGGTGGTTCTATTTCTGGGAGTTACCTGGTTGCAGGCATTGTTGATGACTGGCTCACTATGTTTCATTCCCCAACAAGTTAGTCGAAGCTTGTTTACATGTGGGAAAAGGGCTCTAACAGAATAAGAGTAGAACCACAGAAGACTGACACGTGGGCATATCATTCCTACCTCTCCATTGTGTTGGCCAAAGCAAGCCAAAATGCTAGCCTAGATTCAGGAGATGGGAGGAGGTACATATTCCCTTTGCAGATGGCATGGACAAAGTGAGGGGCAAAGAATTGTGACCATTTTTGAAATCAGTCTGCCTCAGTCAACAAAAGCAGGTTCTTTTAAAAACACTTGTGAAAGGCTAATCAAGAAACAGGAAGATACAGGTAGCCAGTCAAGAATTAAAAAATGAGACATCGTTTCAGATCTTACAGGTATTAAAAATAAAATTAGACATATACTTTAACAAATTTGAAAATTTAGACAAAACGGACACAACTTAAAAATTGACATCTGAAGGAATATAAAATCTGGATTAAAGAAATATTTAGGGGAAGAAACTCAAATGGCTGTGTTTGTACTGAAATATACAATTTTTTTCTTGATCATTATTTCCTAAGCAATACAGCATAACAGTGATTTACATAGTATTTACATTGTATTAGATATTTGAAGTAATCTGAAGATGATATAAATTATATTGGAGGTTGTTCATAGGTTATGTGCAGATATGACACCATTTTATATAAGGGACTTAAGCATCTGTGGATTCTGGTATTTGTGTGGGGACCTGGAACCAGTCCCCCCACTCTCCCCGGAAGCTGAGTGGTGATTGTATAGGTAAGTATTTATGACAGTGATGTCACTGCAGAACAATTGGAAAAGGACAATCTTTTCAATAACATTTGGATATTCATGTGAGAGAAAAAGAAAATTATCCATAGACATCAATTCCTGGTATACTGTAGATGTAAATGTGAAAAACTTAACAATAAAGCTTCTAAAAGATAACACCAGAGGATATCTTGGTGACCTTGTGGTTGGCAGAGACTTCTTTTAAACAGGATGCAGAAAACACTAGCCTTGAAGATAATACTGAAAATTTGAACTGCATTAAAATAAAAAACTTTCAGTTATCATAAGAATCCGTTAAAAGGGGAGAAGACAAGCCACAGGATGGAAAAAATACTTGCCAGTTATGTAACCACAAAGTAGAAATCAATAAGGAAAAGATAACACAATAGGAAAAATATAGGAAACTTCAAGTGTCCTTGAAAAAATGCATATCCAAATGGCCAGTAAACCTGAAAAAATGCTCAGCTTTATTAGTAATCAGAGAAATGCTAATGGAAACATTTAATACATAGACTAAAATGGTTAAAATATAAAAACACTGATAATAAATATTGGAGAGGAAGTGGGCCCAAAGAAATTTTTATATAAATATATACTACTATGCTGGGGATAAAAATATGTACAACCATTTTAGAAAATCATTTAGTACTACATACTAAAGACTTTTTTTAAAATCATCTTTTTTGCCCTGCAGTCTTTTTTTCTCAAGTGTCGGTCTTGTCCTGCTTCCTTATTTTGTCCTGTCTGTAATGATAGAGCCTTTCCTGAATCTGTAGTGAACGTTGTTTCAGTGTGAAACAATGAAAATTGTAAATTAGGAGCTTGTGTTCATGAATAGATATGCTCTTCCACTGCCAACCTTAATTTGGGGTGACCACCTAAAGCACCAGTCTTTGAAATGGAAATCATATAATGGAACACAGAATTTTCTCTGGAGTAGTTCAGTTTTTCTGGAGAAAAAAACTAGCCCATTACCTACAAGTCAGATGCCTGGCTCTTGGTGTTCTGTGGGCAGTGATGGTCAGTTGTTTTATGTATTATTTCCACCTTTTTATTCTTGTTTTCTGCAAAACTTAATGTCTGTACATCAAGTCTCTCTGGAGATCTGTAGGACAAATTTGCTATTGATCATATCTTCTAGAAATGACATTCCAAGCTTTATTCAGAGTAAGAGCCTGAGGTGTGTTTTTAAAAAAGGTAGGCTCTTATCTACTATGGCAGACTTTTCACTGGACCTTGTATATGTATTGTGCTATACACATATATATCTGCAGATGCAAATTACTGTAGCTCTATCAGATACTATTATCTCCATTCTGTAATTGAGGCTGATTTGATTTGATTTTCAGATTCCTTTTTTTTTTTTTTGGACACAGTCTTGCTCTGTTGTTCAGGCTGGAGTGCAGTGGCGTGACCTCAGCTCACTGCAACTTCCACCTCCTGGGTTCAGACAATTCTCATGCCTCAGCCACCCAGGTAGCTGGAATTACAGGTATGCACCACCAAGCCTGGCTAATTTTTGTAGCTTTAGTAGAGATGGGGTTTCCTCATGTTGGCCAGGCTGGTCTTGAATGCCTGATCTCAAATGATCCACCCACCTCAGCCTCCCAAAGAATTAGTATTACAGCCACCGAGCCAGCTGGTTTTCAGATTCCTTATTACTGTCTTCATATTTAAGCTTGAATACCAGCTAGAATCTATGTGCTTTCAGAGTTTAAGCACATAATCATAGTATACTACTTGAGTTTATTTAAATTGGGGATGTGGGAAGTTTAAGTTGATGAGTTTCTAAATTCGAAGTACTTTGTTAAAGTGGATCATGGTGGGGGTTTAGTAGGGTAAAGAGGTAAAGTTACTATATACTGAAGCACTGGGCAAAGATGAGGGGCTTTATTTGAACATAAAGAGGTATTATGGACAAATTTCAGAATCTAGGATCCTGAAGAGCTAAATTAAGTGCTTATAGATCAGTCTGTGAGTCTCAACACAGGGTGAAAGAAGTTATATGAAAATCCCCTCAGAGACTTTCTTCAAACAATGTGGGCATTTTGCCTACCACCTTTCATTTGAGAATCACTTTTCTAAAATGTGGCAATGCGAAAGTAGAGCCAGTGGAGTACAGAAGATTGCAGAAGTATCCAGCTTCTTTAGCCCTGATGGCAGTGGATTTTCTAGCATGTTACTTTTAAGTAATGATGTACTAACAGTTGAATAAATGCAAGAAAAAAGTAGGAGACCATATGCATAAGAGTCAGTACCTATTTGATTGAATAAATAAATGAAAGCTACCCATGGATTTTTGTGGAACTGATGGCAAACACTTATATTTTGGTCTTTTATGCAGATGACATACAAATGAGGAAAATTTACTGTTCACTATTCATCCTATTCTTCCTATTGGCCTTAAAGAAATAACTTGTATATATGAATACTAGGAGTTTCTGTTGAGGGATGGTAATTTTTTTATTTATTGTACAATTTTTTATTTATATAATTATTGATATCACTGTCCCCTTTAGTGATATTCAGAGTTTAGGCTTCTTATAAGTTAAAGGTATAAAGGAATATGTACTTTGAAGACACATTTAGCATAGCCTGCCCATGGTTTTCAGTTACATAATTCTCTGAACAGTTGCTTTGGAGAAAGTGTAACTTTTCTTAGGTAAATAAAAGAAGACTTCCCCCCAAGGATTTCAGTAGAAAGGACAGTCGCTAACAATTTCTTTAACACTGTCATTACAAAGAGACAGTTGGGAGTTTTGTGGAAGGGACTTGTATTCTTGGCTGGCATCTGATATTTTGTCAAATTAATTAATATTCTCTGTTTTAGGTTATATGTTGATGGATAGTTTTACCTGTTCTAGCTGTATACTGTTCCCAATTCATAGTTTGTGTTAATACATTTGAAAACGTAGTGCTAAACAATGAGCTATTGTAATTAGACCTGAGACTTAGCAAGAAATTCATAAGGGCTCTAGATTTTATTTCAACTTAGTATTAAAAAGATATTTAACTTGAGTAAGTAAATATAGATATACTTTATATTTTAAGAGCTGTAATTCCAACAAGTGAATAATGTATGATGACTTTTTTTTTTTTTTTTTTTTTTCCAGTTTAATTTTGTTGGGCGAATTCTTGGACCTAGAGGACTTACAGCCAAACAACTTGAAGCAGAGACAGGATGTAAAATAATGGTCCGAGGCAAAGGCTCAATGAGGGATAAAAAAAAGGTAAGTCCTTGAAAATGGGCCAAGTCATTATGTGAATAACTTACTATACTTTTACATCCTCCTAATAATCAAATTTCCAGATTTTTTTTGTGCCTAAAACACTATACTCCATGTCAGGAACTTTTAAACTTTTTAAAAATGTTGTCTGATTTTCCCTTGTTAATTATTATCTTTTACTTAGCCAATTAAAATATGAGTTCATCATGTTACCTTACTTTGTTATTTACATTTGGGAAGCTGCTGATTTGGAAATTAGACTGTAGTGTTGTGTGTAAACATATATAACTAAAAGTTTGAAAAATCTAAAATATTTCTTTTGATGAGATTTAAGAATCATCAAATAACTTTGGATGTATGTCAAATCACTGGGAGTGTTAGAAGATAGCAATTTATTAAAAGGAAGGCTATCACTAGCCATATTAGATACATTTTGGGTTTCACCAATATTTTGTGTTGATTTTAACACATTTTAAAGTATATTGTGTGTGTGTGTGTGTGTGTGTGTGTGTGTGTGTGTGTTTTTCTCCTGGCATTTCTTCTTTTGCTGATTTAATTAGTAAAGACCCAACTATCTGAATATTATTGTTAGGAAGATTTTATTTACGTAGTTTGTTTTATCCAGCAATACTATGAGGCAGGGTACTTTTGAATTTCTATCCTTGTACAAATTGGCAGATTAAAAAAAAATAGATTTTGATAGCCAACGATTAAAAGTGTTTTAGGAAGGTTTGTTTTTGTTTATTTATTTTTTAAAATACATTAACTTGAAGGGGCTATCTAGGAATCGTCCGTGGTTAGCTGTGTTATATACCATGTGCACTGAATTGCTTTGTGGAACTTAACGAAATGAACACCAAACCCACAGGGTAACTGATAAACTTGTTTTCTGAGCCCTCTGCCCTGTGTCTTTTAAGCCCTTACATAGGCTGACTGGCTCTCACTCATTTTTGCTCCTTGTCAGTGATTTAGTTGCCAAATTTGGGCAGAATATTCTCCTAATATTGATTATTTAAAAGTCTTATAACCTATTCTTTGTCAGCTGTGTTTAAAGATATTTTCATGGGAGTCTGTGAGTTCTCGTGGAACATTTTTAGATGTTGTCCTAAATGTTTTATTAGAATCTTACGAAAATTTGTGCATAGTTTGAATCAGCTGAGTGATAATCTTTTCAAAAGAATGTTACCATAAAGTTTTGGTTCTGGTGTCTGGACTTAGGATTATGTGGGCATTAAGTAATACTAGTTTAACTGCCTATGGACAATGAGTGAAGTCTTGGCAACTGACAGATATATAAATCTGCATGAAAAGATTATATTATATATTCATCAGTTAAGCTATTCTGTCAGCTAGTTAACAAAACCCCCTTTTTCCCTCTTTTGAGTTTCTATGATTTCTGTAGTAATGGCCCTCTACTCACCTTGCTCACTCTTTCAAATAATCACAGACAACTAGGATTAGAGCTTGTAACTGTGTGGTTATACTGTTGTACTCTTATAAGTGTTTATAATAAAAGTAAAGTCAGAATGGAATGCTTGGCTATTTGGTAAAGAACATGAAAAGAGATGGAAGCAAAAAGAAGTATTGATGTAAAGAATAAAGATAGCTCATTGAGATGTATTTCAGGGGTTCAAAAGGAAAAGCCATTTGCTTTAAGCTTTTCTACAGAGTTGTCATATATATATATGTACTAAGAAAGCTAGAAAAAATTTACTGGTTGCCTGTTTTACTTTTAACAAAAATGTTATGATGGGAATGTTGTGTGCTGGTCTGAATCCTTCTCTACACTGGCAAACTCAGAGCCTACTACGGCTGTTTTATGGAGTATTGTTTCCTTAGCGTTTGGTGAGTACCTGGCACAGAGTGTAGGCACTTAAAAAGATATTTGTGAAAGGAGTGACCAGTTCAGGTAATAAATGAAAGGCTTAGGTGCACCTTCCCTCTTGTTTCCTGAAAAGATTTGGTAAATAAAGAAAATTATAAATGCTATGTACTGCTAATGCTTTGGGGAAGATGGTAATATACTAAGCTACTGGTTTTAAGCAACTAAGTTAATATGCCACTTTAATTTTCATTCTCTTGGATTGTTATGAAAGTCTTGTCTATACCAGCCAAGTTTTATTATTACTGTTTTTTAAATGAAGAGACCAAAGCCTCAGGGAGGTTGAGTAATTTGCCAAAAGTCACATGCCAAAATGTGGCAGTCAAAATTTGAAACTAGGCTAGGCACAGTGGTTCACACCTGTAATGTCAGCACTTTGGGGGGCTGAGGTGGGAGGATCACAGGAGTTGAAGACCAACCTGGGCAACATAGTGAGACCCCATCTCTACAATAAAACTTAGAAAAATTAGCCAGGTATGGTGGCATGCACCTGTAGTCCCAGCTTTCTAGGTAGACTGAGGTGGGAGGATGCTTGAGCACAGGAGTTGACACAGCAGTAAGCTATGGTTGTGTGCCACTGCACTCCAGCATGGGTGACAGAATTAGACCCTGTCTCTGGAAAAAAGAAAATTGAAACTGAAGTTTGAGTTCTGTCTGCGGTATACTAGCTGTTAATTATGAACCATTTCTTTTTTCTTTTCTTTTCTTTTTTTCTTATTTTTTTAGAGATGGGGTTTCACCATGATGGTCAGGCTCGTCTTGAACTCCTGACCTCAGGTGATCCACCCACCTCGGCCAACAGGTGTGAGCCACAGCGCCCGGCCTAATTATGAACCATTTCTAAGAGTGATAACTTTAGACATATTAGAACAACTTGAATATTGAGTATTATAAACTTTGACTATCATTTCACACACCATTCAGTATACTTCTGACACCAGATATGTGAGGGTTTCTCCCCACAAACCAAACAAATCTCCAGGAAACACCATCTAGATGTCCTCTAATTCATTTCAAAACTGGGGATAATGTCACATACCACAGATTGAGGGCTGAGACCTGTAAGACTGTCTCCACTTCAGATACTAGCTGCAAGCCCCAGTGATGACCTGTGCTTTTGACTGACCAGCAAGTCCCTCCTCGGGTTCAATTAATTTGCTAGAGTAGTTCACAGAACTCAGGGAAAAACATTTATTATAAAGGATGTTACAAAGAATACTGATGAACAACACATGGAAAATATACATAGGGCAAGATGTGGGAAGGGGCTCAGAGCTTCCATCCCTTCTGCAGTGTGCCACCTTCCAGGTACCTTCATGTGTTTGTTCAGCTTTTTGAAATCTCTCCAAACCCCGTCCTTCTGTTTTTTGTTTTGTTTTGTTTTTAAATGGAGGTTTCATTATGTAGGCACGACTGATTACATCATTGGCCATTGGTGATCAACTCAACATTCAGCCTGTCTGCCTTCCCTAGAGCTTGGGAAATGAGGCTGAAAGTTTCAGGTCTCTGCTCACTTGGTTGGGGTTTCTCTGGCAATCAGCCTTGATCTTATGACTATCCAGGGACCCCACCCATTTGTCACTTCATTTTACAAAAAGATACAAAACAGGTTCCAGACCACCACAGTAAGGGAATATTGCAATAAAGCTAGTCACACATTTTTTTAGTTTCCTAGAGCATATGAAAGTTATGCTTATACTATACTGTAGGCTGTTAAGTGTGCAACAGCATTATGTCTAAAAAATATACATACCGGTTGGGTGCGGTGGCTCATGCCTGTAATCCCAGCACTTTGGGAGGCCGAGGTGGGCAGATCACGAGGTCAGGAGACTGAGACCATCCTGGCCAACATGGTGAAATCTCATCTCTACTAAAAATACAAAAATTTGCTGGATGTGGTGGTGCGTGCCTGTAATCCCAGCTACTCGGGAGGTTGGGGCAGGAGAATTGCTTGAACCCAGGAGGCAGAGGCTGCAGTGAGCCGAGATTGCGCCAGCTGCACTCTAGCCTGGCGACAGAGTGAGACTCTGTCTCAAAAAATATATATACCTTAGTTTAAAAATACTTTATCACTAAAAAAATGCTAATGATCATCTGAACCTTCAGCAAGTTTGTATCTTTTGCTGGTAGAAGATCTTGCCTGAATGTTGATGGCTGCCGACCAGGGTGGTGGTTGCCGGTGGTTGAGGTGACTGTGACAATTGCTTAAAATAAGAACAACGAAGTTTGCCTTATGGATTTACTCTTCCTTTCACAAAAGATGTCTCTGTAGCATGCAGTGCTCTTTGATAGCGTTTTACCCACAGGAGAACTGTTTTTAATACTGGACTCGGTCCTCTCAAATCTTGCTGTTGCTTTTTAAATTAAGTTCATGTAATATTCTAAATTTTTTATTGTCATTTCAACAGTGTTCACAGTATCTTAACCACAAATACATTCCATCTCAAGAAATCCCTTTCTCTGCTCATCCATAAGAAGCAACTCCTGATTAGTTTTTATCATGAGATTGCAGCAATTCAGTCACATCTTCAGGCTCCACTTCTAATTCTAGTTCTCTTGCCGTTTCCACATCTGCAGTTTCTTCCACCACCATACTCTTGAGCTCCTCAGAGTCAAGGGTTGGAATCAGCTTTTTCCACACCCATGCTAATGTTGATATTTTGACCTCTGTCCGTGAATCATGAATGTGTTTAATGGCATTAAGAATGGTGATCCTTTCCAGAAGGTTTTCAATATGCTTTGCCCAGATTTATCAGAGGAATCACTATTTTTGACAGCTATAGGCTTACGAAAGACATTTCTGAAATAATAAGGCTTGAAAGTCTAAATTACTCCTTGATCCATGGGCTACAGAATGAATGTTGTGTTAGCAGGCATGAAAACAACATTCATCTCCTTGAACATCTCCACCAGAGGTTTTGGGTTACCAGATGCATTGACAATGAGCAGTAATATTTTGAAAGGAATCTCTTTTTCTGAGCAGTAAGTCTTAACAGTAGGCTTAAAATACTCAGTAAACCTTTCTGTAAACAGATGTGCTGACATTCAGGCTGTGTTGTTCCAATTACAGAGCATAGGCAGGGTACATTTAGCATAATTTTTTTTTTTTTTTAAAGGCAGA